GTGAATTAATAAGATCACGTAATTAATTGCAATCATACTATTATTAAAAAAAATACACTATCATTTAAACTCATGTTTAAATAATAAAAAATTAAGAGTTCGAATTAAAGCCACATCATTCATCATAATATACACAAATCATCATATTGTATTTTTCTCTCAATTTAATCTCCAAGAGTCTCTAAAAAAAATATCCCAATTTCCAATTTAATAATGAATGAAAAAGTCCTAATTTGAATGTTCTAATCCTGTAAAGTTCATGTGTTGAAATTTACCCAAAATTCAAGCTAGCAACACGGAGACACGCCTCCTACAGTCCTACTTAAAGTCTATCCTACAAACAAAAGAAAACCAAAACAAATATTATTGAACAATAACTACTTGACGCAGAATTATAACTTAAAGGCCCCCCAAAAAGTGTAAAGACTACACTTACCATGTTCCATTTTTGAATTAACGACTATTTAATTCCAAATCCCGTGTATTCGTAGAATCAACGAGTTTTTGACGTACTATTCGTTGTTATGCTGTATGTTCGTGCGAAACCCGTAAGCGTACGAGATCATTGACGAGTAATACTTGATGAGTATGTGTATCGCTCCACGAGGATTAAAATTCAATTAAGTGTACTAGTTTCTAATCTGATTCAAAGTAAGCGAACAAAAAAGATTTGTGGTTTATGATTATCTCAATTAATCTACGAAAGCATGTAAAATTCGAGTTTTTGTATGTATATGGAATGAGTGTATTGGATTACCAATCCGTCTATTATTATCTATTTCAATTCTCAATTACGTAGCTAGTACCATTCATGCATTCTTGACAATCAATAATTCTATTGTAATTAATTCTCTTTATTCTAGTCACGACCTGAATCTGTTCCTAATCTGAATTCGAATGAATATAACGCATTCAATGCCACGATTATCTCAAAAATTGTACACATGATAAACATTATTCCTAATATCTATTACACATATGTTAATCAAGCAGTGTTCTAAACATATTGTGAGCCCTCAGCTCTACAACAAGCAACTACATATTTAATTGGTAATCATGCAATCAAATAATAAAATTATGCATGCAAGATTGATAAAAAACCAAGAATTTAACCAACTACCTATCTTAAATTAAAAATAAAATGTTTAATCTTCATCCAATACATGAGAAGAACTAGCATAGCATATAGTTATGTAAATTACACAAAAAGATCTGAAAAACATCACCCGAAATTAAGAAAAAAAAATGATCGGAAAGTGAAAAATCAATTTCTTTTTCGTTAATCTTCAACCCCGAACTTTGAATCTTCAATCTCTTCTATTAATTGTTTTGAATCTTGTGCTAACCTCTTTCTTGTAGTGAAAAATAGGGTTTTGATAAGTTCTTCCCATTCTTGCCGTTCTCTTGTAGGTTAAATAGTAGGTCGAAGTTGATTTCCATAAGAATTTGGATCAAATAAGGAAACTAGGCCGTTCAGGCCCAGAAATTGCCTGCGCACACCTTTCATTGGTTTTGCTCCCAATAAATGGAACTCAAGCCCCCACAGGCGCGAGAGAATTGGAATGTGCGCGAGCGCCGTTATACAATTTTCTATTTGTTGCACTTTGGTCCCCAAATTTCATTATTTAATAATTTCAGTTCATTTTTCGTATTTTCTTGATCCTCCATATTCCAAATCCATCTAATTGACTTCAACCTCTCTCCAATCAGCAATAATAGGTCTGAATCAACTATTAGCACTTTGTGATTTAGTCCCCAAACTTTGGATTAATTCCACCTTAGCCAATTTTCTGCTCCTTTTTGTCAAATTCCATCGTTTACATCGAGATACACCTAACAAACAAAAAATATATATATAATTAAGCCTCAATTCATTTAAAATGATAATAATTGATCTAATTTAACGACACAGATAAGTATATAAACACTGATTTTACCATATCATTATAAATTTCTAGGGGATCCTTTGCAACTATTACACCTCTATTGTAAGAGGTCATGTACGGGATAAAGCGGGGCCACTAGTTAAGGCAATTGCCCCCACTAAACAATATTTCTTTTTTGGCAGTAAGAAGTGTAGATTTACTAATAAAACTAGAAAAATAATCCTCCAAACATTGGTGGAGAAGTTGGTTTACACAATTGGTTGGTCGAAATAAATAATATAATCATCTTCCTCTAAATACGACAAAGACTATTATCTCGGCAATTTCTCATTAATATTCCATTCCTAATTTGACTTAACAATTGAATTTACTTATAACTAAAACAAAACCTTATGAGAGTTACCAACTATCGACACAGAAGTCATATAACACTGCATTTTTCATTGTACATACAGTCGGAGGGCTCGACTTTATGTTCTTTCATGTTCATTTTTAATCAGAATTACCGACTATCGATACAAAAGTCATATAATACTACATTTTTAATTATACACATAGTTGGAGGGCCCGACTTTATGTCCTTTCATGTTTGTTTTTAATACGCACATAGTTGTTTACACTTCAAAACATAAAGCATTTAGTAAATAACCTTATGAAGAGTTATTTAGAAAACTTTATTGAACAAGAAATGCATGCTTGTGCATGTAATTTAATGGTTCATGTACATTCCTTTATGCCCTCTTAAACATAACCTTAAATGGAACATTTTTTAGAGCCAAGCGTCGCTATCTATTTTGGACATAAATTCCAACATTTTTACGAACAACATCACAATAATTGCGCGCACTAGGAGAATGACCAGTTTCCTAGCGTCCCAGGCGTAGGGTTTCTTACAACTCCACCAGTAGTGATGAAGAAAACCTTGTTCAATGGATCATACATATTGTAGTGATCGAGTTTGCAAAGAGATGATTCAGGACATACCGTGTACTTGTTTGGGAACGCGATGTTCAAATCTGTAAAGACATGGATAACAACTTTATTGAGATTTACTGGAAAAAATGCCACAGGAAAGCGAGGGTTATCTGAAAAGGCCTAAATCACACAATATTAAAACAAGGTACAAAAGAATAGATCACAACAGAAAGTAAACATTGCAGAAATTAAAATGAACACAAG